TCTTTGATTTTTTTTTATATAAAAAGGTGGAGAAAAAGCTAATAAATTTTATCCACGATAAATAAAAAAATCCGAAGCGTGAACCGAATTCAATCGTGTTTATTTTTCTTTGGTATATATGATCGAGAATTTTTTCATGTATATTATTTTTATTTTTACATCAATAAAGTTGGCCCTGGTGGCTAATTTATCGTAAAGAATCGTGTTAAGTTTGCGTATTTCGTGGATTTATTTTATCGATGCCATTCTTTAAAAATAGATGATTTTTTTGGCGACGGCCCGTCGCTGAAATTTTTTGTGTAATGTGAATGTCGACGTCACGTGATATATACTATAGAAAGGTTGTTAGGCTACACGAAGTTAATCACACTATGGATGAGATGACTGATTTTTTCAAGAAAACGAGATCAAATTGGTCATTAATAAACTTTTTACGATACAGGCAGAAACAATAAAACTAAAGAGCACTCGGATTACAAAAAAGCATTAGAAACATTAATTGGCCGTGTTGATTATACAAATAAGGCAAAAAAATGTCTAGATACTTTTGAAGTTAAGTTTATACTCCTTTAGAAATTCGAGATTAGGCAATTTCATGTGTTCAAGGACTAGAATACGTTCCGGTCACTGAAACAAATACGTGACGTATTGACAACCCCCGAGTAAACAAGCTGATTACGTATTGGCTTGCTGATAGTGGATTACGCGTTCCCTCGGCGTCCTTGAACTAAGAGCTAGAATACGTTTCGGCCACTGAGACAATAATGTGACGTATTGACAACCCCGAGTAAGCTGGCCGATTACGTGTTGGCTGGTTGATGATTACGCGTTCCTCGGCGCTCTTACATGTTATTGCCAAAATAAAAAGAGTTTAGAAAAAGAATATTAACGTTTTTTGTTTAATCAGGATGAAAGATCTTCCATTAGTGTAAATAAATTCTGGATGACAGTCAATGAAGAACTAATTAATGACAAGATCAAAAATGAAGAGGTTTGTAAACTATATATATTAATTTTTATAAAATACAAACTGATAAATAACGATTCTTTATTATGAATAGAACGAATATGATTTAATTTTGACTACTAATGTCAATAAACAAATGGGAACATATGTAAATGCTACTAGTTCTCGTCTTACAAAACGATTCGTAGATTGTGCGAACGAAAGCCCCCCAAAACGTGTTACAAGGGTTAGTACTGTGGATTTGAACCATTGAGAATTTATTTGTTTTAATTCTACAAATTTATTTCTAGAAAGTAATAGGAGACGATTACCCTTTTATTGCATCTGAAATAACCGATGAGAGCAACTTGAACGAGCTTGGTGTATCCGAGTCTAATACAACACCCATTCAGGAAGAATCATCACCAGCGATTGATTATTATAGATTGATAAACAAAGGCTCTGTGCAAGATGGTAAGAAGTCACATCTTTTTGTCTTATGTTCAGGTACTATTATCTAAACTTGACTATTCTTGAAATTATTATTTATTGTACAGGCGGATTTCGAACCCCCCCTCATCAAATTGTCAGTAACACATACAGCCCAGAAATATCAATTAATGAAAATATACTAAGAATGTCTGTTATGAGTTTAGCCAAACTGGACGAATCCAAGGTATTTGTTTGAAGAAGCTAATTTTTTGAAGCATATAATAAATACTCAATGGTTTGCATTAAACAGTACTTCGGGGAATTCATTCCACATTTTATAAAATATAAAAAATCCCAGCGAAATAATCCATTTTCGTAAGTAGTTGAATTGCTTAGGATATATTTATAACCTATAACTAATGCTTCTCAATATATAGTTACACGATTGATGATGTAATGGATATCCGAGGGGAAGGCGGATTTTCCAAATTTTTGTCAGTTGATGATTACATAAAACTACTATCAAAAAACCAAAGAGGAATGTCGAATTGCCAGAAGGTTGGCGTGATGTTATTGAAGAATATTTTAAGGTAATTATATTTTATTGTTTGTATTCGTCATTTGCAGTAATTATTGATTCTATTATTCTATAGGAAACGACCGAAAGTGGGTCGACAAAAAATATTTCAGATTGGATTCGCATCACAAAGAAGTTAAATATTTTAAGTGAGGATGATAGTGAAGAGGTGATAAAAATTAAGGAGTACCTATACCGAGTGATGATTCCATTGTAAGTGTTTTCTAAGGTTTTATTGTTATTAATTGCACATTGTTTCTAATATCTTATATTTACAGGATTGAATCATTTGCGAAACCAATGCCAGATATTAGCGCACCAAACACTAGTGTTTTCAAAATTGTTATGTTAAATTTACTTTTATTTTAGCATGGAAGTTCCCGTACAGGCCTCAAAGTATCGAAAAAATTATGGATATAATCATATCATAGACAGAGTAGTTGATGGAAAATCTGCGGACTTGTTGGCGCGGATGTGGAAAACGGGTGAAGAAATTTTTGTTGGAGAACAAGCCGGACCCCCTACTCAACACGATTTAACAAAACTAGAGACCGATTCATTTAAATTATATAGGGAAATGAGAGATTGTTTAAATGTTAGAATTTTGCGGGCCATGGGGAAGGGTGACATTAATTACAATAATCAGTCTGTTTTCGGAATATTGGGTTATCTCCTCGAAATCAAAATGCATATAATGTGGAAAGATGGAGTATATGTATACGAAGAATATGGCAGTTTAAACATTGCTTCTAACCCAGATCAGATTTCAGAGATGAAATCAGGTATATTAAGGTTATTGGAATTTATGGTAAGTTACATTTTATAATTTTATGAATATCTTTTAATTGGCCTATTCTAAATTAATTCTGTTATAGATGATCATTAAAATCGAAACGAAAAATAACGTGACGGATTCTGTACAGATTTTGAAAAGAAAATATGATGAAATTATTCAAACAAAGCCATCACCTTCGAAAGTTGCGAAGAGATAAATATGTGCTAGAGAATTTTTTCGTACATTTTTAATATAGAAGACATGTCAGGTGTTATCAACCTTTTATAAAAATATCCTAAATAAAAATCAAACTATACTTAGAGTTAAAATACGTAATTAATATAAATTTTGTTTCCCATGATCCGAAATATCTTATGTTTCTATTTTTTGGTATTCTTGACTACGGGCCGTCGCTGAAATTTTTATTACTTTAGTTACGCATTTTAAATAAATAATAAATATATAAAATCTATTACTAAAACATGCAATCCGAGGTTGATTCATTAAAACACCGAATTTCTGAGCTTGAAGCCGAAAAGGCTGAGCTCGAAGCCAAGAATGCCGAGCTTTTAAAACGGGTTATGGAGGAGAGCACCAAACGCGAAGCTGAGAATGTTGAGCTCAAAGCCAGGATCGCCAAATTGGAACAGACCGCAGAAGAAAATACCAAGCTTAAAGATAGAATCACGAAATTGGAACAGAAACAGACCCAGATTATTATTAATGAACAGGAAACATCTACAAAAGACATTTCGCCACTTATCGAGAACAATTCTTATGAGGAGAAAGGTATTACCCCCGACCCCTTGCCTGAAATAGAATATAGCTCAACCCAACCTGAATCTTCAACGGAGCCTGAAATATCTACAACCTCTTTACCACAAGATATTATCCATGACGATTCAGCTGAGATCCTTGATTTTGTAGAAGCGATACATAAGGAAAGGGTTAGTAATGAGATAAGAGAGAGGAACCGGGAAAAAAAACTTCAAGAATCACATAATGACTCAACTCCACCAATACAACCCGAAGTCTCAACCACTTCGACACCTGAATCTCTGGACCCGAAAACTGTGAAAAAGCTTTGGGATCAGAATCAACATAAAAGCCAGGACAAAACATCTCAATCGCACAAGAAAAAGGGAACAGAGAAGCTTTGCTTCCTCAAATCATGTGACTGGAATTTCAGCGACGGCCCGTCGTCAAAATTCTTCTGCAACCCCATTACTCGATTTAGCTCAATTATTTGATAAAGCAACTGATGCTGAACATTACGCTATGAATGCTAACCAAGAAGAAACCTTATGCTGGATTAATTATGGGAAAGAATTCATAATTCAGTATAATGATCTTATAAAAAA